GAATTTTCTTAGCAAGAGGTGGTTCAACGGTGTCATACAAAAGCAAACTTTGCCTTGTTTTTCTTTCGTATTAAAAGCGTTGCATTCGAGCTGTGGATAGTTGACTTTCGCGTTGACTGCGACATCTACACGTAGGGGTTTCCAGAGCTTAACTCCTCTCGTGTTCCACCAAAAATCCGAGAAGGCCCTACTTGGACGAGGTTGAACTTAGCAGTAAGAACTCCCGAAGCGTTTGAGCTGGACTACCGCCGCTTGTTCATTTGTTAGCACACTGTACCCACTCCTCATCTTCGGCAAATGTGATGGATGGTCAATCGTAGAATCCCTAGTAAGTCGACTTGAACATAACGGTGTCAGATCGTGTTTGGAGCTGAATCGGGCTCAAGGCACGTGGGGACCAAACTCTATATTTTCGGATCTTCACAAGTCTTTGGAGATGCCACAGTGCTGTCTCCTTGTCGCATCGGAATCGCTCTAGCAAATGATCGATACTCTATCCAGATCCCTTTTCAACGCGTCAGATAGAGCATCGTGATTGTCAGTCACAGGGTGGTTGGAGTGTGGGTTATTTTCAAATAAAAAAGTCAACGCTGAGCAGAGTGAAGCGCCGTTGCACTGTGGTTTGAGAGAGCGTGCCCTCGCCCATCTTCTGGCCAATCCTTGGTCTAGCATGACTTGCGGAACATTCCAAGCAGTACTCGTAAAAATTAAGGGCACGAGAGCCCTCTCGCGAAATCGGTGTAATATCCATAATAAGTAGCGAGACAACGAGCTGGACCGTTGGCTGAAATTGCAAAGGTTGATGCTACGTCAGGAAATATGTTGCGGATTTTCAGGAGTTCTCCCTAAAATTCTCTAGCATTAAATGTAGTTTGTTGCAAGACTTATGGACCGACCTAATATTGCTCTACTTGCCAGCAGCACCTTATGCACAACGACATCCCCCCAGTAGAAGGGATGTCGTTGTGCAAAAGCGAAAACTGCAAAACGCGTTTCTGCGAAGATCGAAAGTTTCTGCGAAGATATAGGCAGGACACTAAATCCGCCGGAGCTTTAGCATGCATCCGGGTCGTGAAGGGCCGAGGCAAAGAACTGCTATGGCACAGCGTTTCTGTATAACTTTTGCGTTGCTATGAATAGACAGAGCAATAAATGAAACAATTCAAAAACAGAAACAATTATTTTCTCGCTGATTATGAGTCTCAAATAAGGAAAAAATCGACAGAAAAATACAGGTAAGGGAATATGCCTCAACTACGGAAGATTAGAATATAGAATCATGCGGAGAACACTGCTCATAGGCAGTCGAACATTATTTGCTTAGCTGCCTATGAACATATCTACTGCATCACTTGTTTGATTGCTTTGCTCTCTACTTCAGCCATATTCACTGATGGCTATCGTGGTTATTTTGAAGAAGGCTTCTTTTCCGGAAACTGCAACTGTCCTTGTTAACAATCATCTACAAAAAAAGGTATTCTAAAAGCAGCCGATATTCATGTTCGAAATTGTAATGACCCTTGTCGTGTTTTGCTCTCGGAACAACTGTGCTCTTCCTCGAAGTTGAGATAAAAGGATAAAGCATTTGCCGTTGATCAATCCCTTTTTGGGATGCGGCACGCATTCTACTTCCATTTGTACATTCGTAGTGGCGTTTGAATGCGATGTGGCCTATACAATGACTTGCGGGGGCCAGCCGATGTACAAGTCAGTGTTTTTATCCTCCCAGACAAGTCTGGTACCAATTAACCGACCCCGGAGGGATGGAAGGCTTGGTTGGCCCGGGCGACTCACGACCCAGGATTTGATCCCCGGACCGCTCGCGTGGTAAGCGTGCCACTTGTCACTACACCACTTCCGCCCTTCCTCGAAGTTGCAAAAAATGGTATCCTTGGGAAATGGAAAAATTCCAGTTTTTCGCAGGCACTAAATCTAGTTTGAAAACTCTGTGGTTCATACAGTAGCGGTCAAAAGTTTGGAAACTTTATTTTTGATCTAGTGTAGCCAATAGACAATGAAATTGTCCCAAATTCACATATTATATACAGAATCAAGTGTAGATTACGATGAGCAACATAATTTTTTGAAAACGAGATCGCTTTTGAAAAATACGAATTTTTATAAGAAATGGCGCGTCAAAAGTTTGGAAACTTCTCAATTCCAAAGCGAATTCGGCAAAATAGCTCTCGAATCTACATGATAAATTAGTATTCGATGAGTAGCTGTGAATTTCTATGTCAGCGTCGTTTTTATTGACATGGAGTTGATTATAAAATAATTTTAGGACTTTTAAGTCGAACCCTGCACACTGTGAACTAAATCGCATTGTTTGGTGGGATTCTTAACTGGAATGTGGGTTGAGCGACATGCCAGTTCTTCCGTGGGATGTAGAACTCAATTCAGATCTTGACTTGGTCGCTTCATAACAGCTTCTTTTTCTGGGTTTAGGAAGGCGGCAGTGAGGAGGTAGGCCTGCATTGGGTCATTTCCGCGATAGAAAACCCATCTTTTTCGGCTAGTTCTGACTATTGTAGGGAAGCATTGTATTCTACAGACTAT